GTAACTCTGTTGTTTTTATTGCACTACTTTGCTTTATCTTGGCCAGGTCGCAGTTGTAAATGAGAACCTGTTCTCAACTGGCTTACCTGGTTAAATAAAGGTGAAATAAAAAATAAAAAAATAAAAAACACCTGTCTGATTCACGCCTGTCTGATTCACGCCTATCTGAGACACCTGTCTGATTCACGCCTGTCTGAGACACCTGTCTGATTCACGCCTGTCTGATTCACGCCTGTCTGAGACACCTGTCTGATTCACGCCTGTCTGAGACACCTGTCTGATTCAGGCCTGTCTGAGACACCTGTCTGATTCAGGCCTGTCTGAGACACCTGTCTGATTCAGGCCTGTCTGAGACACCTGTCTGATTCACGTCTGTCTGAGACCCCTGTCTGAGCCACCTGTCTGAGACACGCCTGTCTGATTCAGGCCTGTCTGATTCAGGCCTGTCTGAGAGACCTGTCTGATTCACGCCTGTCTGAGTGGACCAATCCATTGTGGAGGCCACACAACAGTATCACCAGTAGTACATTGACCCTTAATTCCCATAACTTCTAATTACAATGTTTGTTTGGTTACCGTAATTTCTGTTAATACATTCAATATATTATTAGTACAGTCTTACCGTTGTCATTGTAGGAGTGGACACGTTGTTTGCAGAGCTCAACCTAGGCTACACTTGTGAGGAAAAAGTTTTGGTTTATTTCATTCCATTTTACGAATTGTCAATTTTATTAATTGTCTTTTGTTTGGCGCGCTCCTGTCAGTCTTGATTAAGCATAGAAGTAGGCCTAGGCTACCTGGCCTGTGCTGAAATGTAGGCTTATAAATGTGCCCATTTGGGGATCTGATACTATTTCTGATTGTCTTAACTCACCATCACTGTGGAGCTTATCAAAGTAATTTTTTCTTCGCCTCCAAACAGCAAGTAAACCAAGTCTGTTTTTACATCCATTGAGAATGACAATAGTTCCTCAACGTAGCCTATTTGAAAAATCTTTCCAGCTCTCTCCCTTTCGATAACCACTTGGCATGAAAGGGGGGAAAAAATGTCATGCTCTGATCCGTTGAAAACGTCATAAAATAGGCCTACCCGATTACTTCTTATCCCTTGTGCAAATAGCCTACAGCTGTGTCTGTCTGGAGTTCACTGAAGGAGGAAACGCTGAGAATGTTTTATACAATGTTGCAAGTTTGCTAGCACTGGGCCAGACCAAGTCAATAGTTGATACAATGTTTCAAGTTCCATGCAGACAGGCCATGTGTAGCCAATGTGATTTATAGGATATTTATTTTTAGCAGGATATTTTCTACCTGCAATGTTTTTATTTGTTGGCTCTATGTTGGCTATTTTTACATAATGGCAATATAAGTTACTTTTAGATTTGTATCATTTTCATTTAGATATAATTTTTATGAACCACCTGACATTGATTTTGAGATATGAAGACTTTTATTATAAATGAAATGAAACTGTTCAGGGAAAATGTGCATATGAAAATCATAAATGGCAGATCAGTAGAAATGGTACGATAACTTGCCACTCCAAATGGAAAAGGTTGCCGACCGCTGGTGTAGACCATTACTGGTAACTTCAGGAGCGTAACGGCTGCGAAGGACAGCAGCAGCGGGCAGCGTGAGGAGGAGGAGGAGGGTCGGGAACAGGTTTTTCTTCTTCTGGATAGGCTATATTGATCTGTAAGGCTATATTGATCTCTGGCTCCCTCTTTAGTAATTTGTGTGTCTCTTCATTTTTAATCGCAGTGCTTAAAGCATCAGACAAGCTCAGTAGCCTACATATAGTTGATTTTATTCAAACATAGGGTGTGTCTATATATGGAAAAATACACGTTTTAAAATGTAGACCAATCGATTGGAACAGACGACTAGGACGACCCAAGATTTGTTTTGGGTCGGGGACAGCCCTAGTATGTGTGTATAGTGCGTATATTATAATGTGTGTGTACATATATGCGTCTCTTCACAGTCCCGCTGTTCCATAAGGCGTATTTTTATCTGATCTTTAAATCTGACTTTACTGCTGGCATGAGTTACTTGATGTGGAATAGAGTTCCCATGTAGTCATGGCTCTATGTAGTACTGTGCGCCTCCCATAGTCCTGTTCTGGTCTTGGTGACTGTGAAGAGATCTCTGGTGGCATGTCTTGTGGGGTATGCATGGGTGTTCGAGCTGTGCGCTAGTAGTTTAAACAGACTGTTCGGTGTATTCAACATGTCAATACTTCTCACAAATACAAGTAGTGATGAAGTCAATCCTCCACTTTGAGCCAGGAGAGATTGACATGCATATTATTCATGTTAGCTCTCCGTGTACATTTAAGGGCCAGCCGTGCTGCCCTGTTCTGGGCCAGTTGTAATTTTCCTAAGTCCCTCTTTGTGACACCTGACCATGTGACTGAACAGTAGTCCAGGTGTGACAAAACTAGGGCCTGTAGGACCTGCCTTATTGATAGTGCTGTTAAGAAGGCAGCGCAGTGCTTTATTATGGACAGACCTCTCCCCATCTTAGCTATTATTGCATCAACATGTTTTGACCATGACCGTTTACAATCCAGGGTTACTCTCCTCAACTTGCTCAATTTCTACATGATTCATTACAAGATTTTGTTGAGGTTTAGTGAATGATTTGTCCCAAATACAATGCTTTTAGTTTTAGAAATATTTATGACTAACTTATTTCTTGCCACCCATTATGCAACTGACTGCAGCTCTTTGTTAAGTGTTACAGTGATTTCAGTTGCCGTGGTAGCTGATGTGTATAGTGTTGAGCCATCAGCATACATACACACAGTCTTTACTCCGTGCCAGTGGCAGTGTCATTAGTAAAGATTGAAAAAAGTAAGGGGCCTAGACAGCTGCCCTGGGGAAATGCCCTGACTCTACCTGGATTATGTTGGAGAGGCTTCCATTATAGAACACCCTCTGTGTTCTGTTAGACAGGTAACTCTCGATCCATGATATAGCAGGGGGTGTAAAGCCATAACACATATGTTTTTCCAGCAGCAGATTATGGTCGATAATGTCAAAAGCTGCACTGAAGTCTAGTCTAACAAAACAGCCCCCACAATGTTTTTATTATCAATTTCTCTCAGCCAATCATCAGTCATTTGTGTAAGTGCCGTACATGTTGAATGCCCTTCCCTATAAGCATGCAGAAAATCTGTTTGTAATTTTTTTAACTGTGAAATAGCATTGTATCTGGTCAAACACCATTTTTTCCAAATGTTTACTAAGGGTTGGTAACAGGCTGATTGGTCGGCTGTTTGAGCCAGTAAAGGGTGCTTTGATATTTTTGGGTAGCGGAATGATTTTTGCTTTCCTCCAGGCCTGAGGGTACACACTTTCCTGTAGGCTTAGATTGAAGAGATGGCAAATAGGAGTGGCAATATTGTCCGCTATCATCCTCAGTCATTTTCCATCCAAGTTGTCAGACCCCTGGGGGCTTGTCATTATTGATAGACAACAAAAACATTTTCACCTCTTCCACACTCACTTTACGGAAGTCAAAATTACAATGCTTGTGTTGCATAATTTGGTCAGATATACTTGGATGTGTAGGTTCAGAAGTTGTTGGCATGTCATGCCTAAGTTTGCTAATCTTGCCAATTAAAAAATCATTAAAGTAGTTGGCAATATCAGTGGGTTTTGTGATGAATGAGCCATCTGATTCAATGAATGATGGAGCCGAGTTCGCTTTTTGCCTAAAATTTAATGTAAGGTGCTCCAAAGCTTTTTACTATCATTCTTTATATAATTTATCTTTGTTTCATAGTACAGTTTCTTCTTCTTTTTGTTCAGTTTAGTCACATGATTTCTTAATTTACAATATGTTTGCCAATCGGCTGTGCAGCCAGATTTATTTGCCATTATTAATTCTGCTGGCTTCGCTATATTCATTCATAAATCGTGGCCGCCACTCAAAAAAATATGATAGAGATTTTTTTTCTCCCAGGATGGTAAAACGTTTTCAGTGTAAACTTAAATGACTAAAACCAGATATAAAGTAACTAGACAGTCAGGGAGAATAAAAAAAAATCCCAAAATGTCATGTCAAAATGTGTAGAATTGAAGGAAATTTGCTTTAAAGTAATTGTTCAATGTTTCCAGATTCCAATGAAATATGAGGAATCTGAAATTCCTTACTTACAATATGAGTGAAATTGTTTTCCTTCCAAATTTTTTAAATTAAGTATGTTAAAAAGTAGCTTTTCTGTGTTGGAATGGTGTGGGCGTACTCTAACAACAGAATGGTGTGGGCGTATACCAGTCATAAAAAATATGCATACGAGTAGACTGCTGATTGGCCAGCTCATCCTCCTCAGGAATATGACATCATACTCTATGAAGAAATAGCAAGCATTTTTGAGATACAACTTTTGAGGTGGGGTTTTTGAAGTGTTTTCTTTCTCCAATTTATGCTTTGGCCACATACAAGTATAGGATGAGTCAACAACATTATTTGGGTATGAGTTAACAGAATATTAACTTTTAAAAGTGAGATTTTCACTGGACAGTTATTTTAATAGGCTAAACCAACGTCAGGCTATAAATAAATCAGGACAAAAGCATCTATAGAGCACTTATTTGGTTTCATTCCACTCTAGAAGCTTTTTAGACACTGTTTCAGGGAAGTGTGATTTGTGTTATTCCAGATATACTCGTTGACCAGTCGTAGAGGATTCCATAGTCGTGATTGTTTCCCCTGCACCAGAGGAGGCTGGTGGGAGGAGCTATAGTAATGGCTGGACTGGTATTAATGGAACAGTCAAACAAGTGGTTTCCATATATTTGACGTGTTTGACTCCGTTCCATTAATTCCGTTCCAGCCATTACAGTGAGCCCGTCCTCCTATAGCTCCTCCCACCAGCCTCCTCTGCCCCTGCAAAGTTGTGGAGTTGAGTTGACCATATTTACTATATGTCAGGTTGTGAGTTGTCTGTGGTCTAGTAGTCCTGACCTTGCTCTGGTCCTCTCTCCTCAGGTAAAGTGTATGCAGTAGGGGGCCATGATGGTAGTGAACACCTGGGCAACATGGAGATGTTTGATCCTCTCACTAACAAATGGATGATGAAGGCTTCCATGAACACAAAGAGGTATGTCATGTCTGAAATATGAGTTACAGAGATATTGTCCTCCCGAGTGGCGCAGTGGTCTAAGGCACTGCATCGCAGTGCTAGCTGTACCACTAGAGAGCCTGGTTCGAATCCAGGCTCTGTCGTAGCCGGCCGCGATCGGGAGACACATGGGGCGGCGCCCAGCGTCGTCCAGGGTAGGGGAGGGAATGGCCGGCAGGGATGTAGCTCAGTTGGTAGAGCATGGCGTTTGCAACGCCAGGGTTGTGGGTTCGATTCCCACGGGGGGCCAGTATGAAAAATAAAATAAAAATATGTATGCACTCACTAACTGTAAGTCGCTCTGGATAAGAGCGTCTGCTAAATGACTAAAATGTAAATGTAAAATATTGTTTTAGAAATGTATATATATATTTTTATATATATATATATTTTTTTTACAGCCGATCATAGTGATCCCTAATTATACTCATACTCACTCTGATATACTGCCCAACTGTCAATGCTGTCTTGTATGTGTGTAGGAGGGGCATAGCTCTGGCAGCTCTGGGAGGTCCTGTCTACGCCATCGGGGGTCTAGATGATAACTCATGCTTCAACGACGTGGAGAGATACGACATCGAGAGCGACCGCTGGACTGCTGTGGCGCCCATGAACACACCCAGGGGAGGGGTGGGCTCTGTGGCCTTAGGGGTGAGAACAGCATAGATACATGGCTGCACTGAACATGCAGTATTATATAGTGCCTTCAGAAAGTATTCACACCCCTTGACTTTTTCCACATTTTGTTGTTTTACAGCCTGAATTTGAGATTTTGTGTCACTGGCCTACACACAATACCCCCATAATGTCAAAGGGGAATTGTGTTTTTAGACATTTTTACAAATTTAATTAAAAGTTGAAATGTCTTGAGTCAATAAGTATTCAACCCCTTTGTTATGGCAAGCCTAAATAAGTTCAGGAGTAAACATTTGCTTAACAAGTCTCATAATAAGTTGCATGGACTCACTCTGTGTGCAATAATAGTGTTTAACATTCATTTTGAATGTCTTCCCCACACATACAATTACCTTTTTAAGGTCGCTCAGTTGAGCTGTGAATTTCAAACACAGATTACACCGCAAAGACCAGGTAGGTTTTCCAATGCCTCGCAAAGAAGAGCACCTATTGGTAGATGGGTAAAAAAAAAAAAAGCAGACATTGAATATCCCTTTGAGCATGGTGCCAATGGTGACTTTAAAACAGTTCGAGTTTTATGGCTGTGAAAGGAGAAAACTGAGGATGGATCAACAACATTGTAGTTACTCCACAATACTAACCTAAATGACAGAGTGAAAAGAAGGAATCCTGTACAGAATACAAATATTCCAAAACATGCATCCTGTTAGCAAAAAGGCACTAAAGTAAAACTGCAAAAAATGTGGCAAAGAAATTAACTTTATGTCCTGAATACAAAGCCTTATGTTTGGGGCAAATCCAGCACAACACATCACTGAGTACCACTCTTCATATTTTCAAGCATGGTGGTGGCTGCATCATGTTATGGGTATGCTTGTCATCGGCAAGGAATAGGGAGTTTTTTAGGATAAAAAAAAAAACAGAATAGAACAAAGCACAGGCAAAATCCTATTTGAAAACCTGGTTCAGTCTGCTTTCCAACAGACACTGGGAGACAAAATTAACCTAAAACACAGGGACAAATCTACACTGGAGTTGCTTACCAAAATGGAGTTGCTTAACAAGACGACATTGAATGTTCCTGAGTGGCTTAGTTACAGTTTTGACTTAAATCGGCTTGAAAGTCTATGGCTAGACTTGAAAATGGATGTCTAGCAATGATCAACAACCAAATTGACAGAGCTTGAAGAGTAAAACAATTGTACAAAAATGGTACAATCCAGGTGTGCAAAGCTCTTAAGAGATTTACCCAGAAAGACACTGTACTCTCTAATCGCTGCCAAAGGTAATTCTAACATGTATTGACTCAGGGGTGTGAAAACGTATGTAAATTTAAATATTTCTGTAACATCTTTTCACTTTGTCATTATGGGGTATTGTGTGTAGATGACTGAGATTTAAAAAAATATATATATTTAATCCATTTTGAATTCAGGCTGTAACACAACAAAATGTAGAATAAGTCACAGGGTATGGATTATTTCTGAAGACGCTGTAGAAACCAGGGTCGTGTCCATTAGGGAACAATAAAGAAAACCCTTGTGCAACGGAAAACAGGCATTTCTTATTGGATAAGTTCAGATAGTACCTCCCCTGTTTCACTCAATTTCGGCCTGTTTTATTCTGTTTTGTGCCTAGTGAACACGACCCAGGTGTTTAAAAAAAAAAAAAATATCACATTTAAACACTCAACAGGTGACATTACGCTCCTCGCGTACAATTATTTTATAACCATTTTATACCATTTTGAGGAAAGAGATGTTATTCCCTGTGCTGTTTGTGTGATTGGAAGTCCGACCATGTCCGTGGGCAATAATAATCATATCTTTTATGTTTGTAAACCCTTTCCTGTCAGTAACAGCAACACACCTCAAGTGTTGTACTTCTCTTGAATTGCTGAGCCTCTTTTATGTCGGCTTTAAAATATTGTGAAGTTCCGACACCCAAAATGAGCACCTAATTCAGTCCACTTCAAGCACTGAGAATCACTTGTTAACCTTTTGTCCTCTCCTGTCCCAATCAGAATCATGTGTACGCTGTCGGGGGTAACGACGGAGTGGCCTCTCTGTCCAGCGTGGAGAGGTTTGACCCCCACCTCAACAAGTGGACGGAGGTCAGGGAGATGGGCCAGAGACGAGCAGGGAACGGAGTCAGTGAGCTCAACGGGTGCCTCTATGTTGTGGGTAAGAGCACAGCACAGCACCACTGCAGTGACATGTTAATCATTCAGAAGATGTGTGAGACTTACAGTAAGTGAATTCAACTTAAACTAGGTGAGACAACCAACATATCACAATCCTTGTAAGTAAAACCATCACATTTATATTTCATATCAGTGTTTTACCACCCATCCTACTGGCTGCTCTTTAACATGGGTCACATGCTCCACTCACACACACAAGGGGTTGGCTTGTAAACATGAAACAGAAAAGAGAAAAGTTCAATGTTTTGTCAAGTTGGTTACTGATTAAAAGTAATCCATAAGGGTGGGGTGATGTTATTGGCTGAATGTGAAGAGTCCTCTAAAGCTGTTTCAGAGCTCTGGCCTGACTTTTAGCTGACCCTAGTTTAAATGAGTCAGCATTGGTGTGGTTGTGTAGGAGGTGAAGCTACTCATAGGCATTGACCTCGGTGGACAGAGGAGTAGATCTTTGTTGATAAGTCCGCCTGCTGCTTCACTGACCGGGTTATGCTATTCGTATCACGTCTTGCACTGCTTGAGCTGTTATGTATGCACACAACACAACTTACTTTATTTGGGACACGGCGTGTACAACAAGCCTTCCGCTCTGAAATTGCTCATTCATAGTTTGTTAGTCAGGGCTCCGCCGAGGTCTCGCTGATCTCCCCTTCTGTCTTCCGTCACGTCAGGTGGTTTTGATGACAACTCCCCTCTGAGTTCCGTGGAGCGTTTCGACCCCCGTCTTAGCCGCTGGAACTACGTCTCTGAGCTGACCACGCCCCGGGGCGGAGTGGGCGTGGCCACGGTCATGGGTCGCGTGTTCGCGGTCGGAGGTCACAACGGGAATATCTATCTTAACACTGTGGAGGCCTTCGACCCCCGCATGAACAGGTGAGACGGGGAGAGAGAGCAGGGTTACTGTTCAGGTCAGAGGAAGAGGTTGTACCAGGCAAGTTTTAAACAAGCACACCAAGTATTTCACCCAGGTCTGGTATGGTCAATGCTCTAGCACAGATGAGCAACTGTTTTCTACTTAAATAGGGTCTTTTTTAGTTTTAAGGTCTGGTGAGTTAACTGAAACTTTATCAAAATACATAACCACCTGGTCTGACTGTATGTCTTGTGTTGTTCCTCAGATGGGAGCTGGTGGGGTCTGTCTCTCACTGCCGGGCCGGCGCAGGGGTGGCTGTCTGTTCCTCTCACATCAGCCAGATCAGGGACGTGGGCCAGGGCTCCAGCAACGTGGTCGACTGCATGTGACGGCTGTATCTGACCACAGGCTGACTGGAAAGACGGCACTAAGACCAGACCTGCACGGAACAAGCACCCATCCCACGCACAGCCACAAGCACTCAACCGCACTGCACGGTCACTGACTAGGAGCATTTGTCCTTCAGCAGTGGTTCCTTTTAGCACTGACTGTAATGTAATCAGTCTCACTATGTAGGGCGGCGTGTACTGATATTATTCAGCTGAAGACACTTCTCTGACTGAACCTTGTCAGTGGAGAGCTGATTTACAAACAATACATGTATTTTCTCTTTTTGTGATGTTTGCAGGTGCAATTCAGTGATGGTGTTTTTTTTGAAAAAGTTTATCGTACTGGATTTTCTTTTGCTTCTTGACTGCTGTGGCTTTGGTTCTTTATCAAAGGAAAATAGCTGACTGATAGTTGAGCTTTAGATGTCATATTAGACAGGCCTTGCATATCAACTTGTATTTTTAAGAGCAACCAGTTAGTACCTATGCTCGGTCAGACCTCACTTTCACAATCATCACTGTCTGAACTGAGAGATCTTCCTAGGTTCCTAGCAGTCTGAACTGAGAGATCTTCCTAGGTTCCTAGCAGTCTGAACTGAGAGATCTTCCTAGGTTCCTAGCAGTCTGAACTGAGAGATCTTCCTAGGTTCCTAGCAGTCTGAACTGAGAGATCTTCCTAGGTTCCTAGCAGTCTAAGCTGAGAGATCTTCCTAGGTTCCTAGCAGTCTGAACTGAGAGATCTTCCTAGGTTCCTAGCAGTCTGAACTGAGAGATCTTCCTAGGTTCCTAGCAGTCTAAGCTGAGAGATCTTCCTAGGTTCCTAGCAGTCTAAGCTGAGAGATGTTCCTAGCAGTCTAAGCTGAGAGATCTTCCTAGGTTCATAGCAGTCTAAGCTGAGAGATGTTCCTAGCAGTCTGAACTGAGAGATCTTCCTGGGTTCCTAGCAGTCTAAGTTGAGAGATCTTCCTAGGTTCCCAGCAATCTCTCACATATAAAACGGTATGAGAGAGAGTACTGTGAAGTTTGGACCGTATCTAGAGGATGGAAAGCTGTGAAGTAAAGACTCGGATGAACATAACAGTGTTTGGGATAAAAATCTGTTGACATTCTATTGACTCCAAATTCCAAATAAGCCACACAAAGGCAATGTTTTTTTCCTTCTGTTTTAGGATTTCAGGGCTTTCTGTCAATTCCTTCTCCTGTAGGCTCCGTGATGCTGAAACCGCTTTCGTGTTAGCATTAGATAGCTGTAGCCTGTATTTGCGTTTGAACAATCATTCCTATCAGACTGATTTTGAGTCTGATTGGGATGTATTTAAACTATGGCGGTCTTTGGCAGAGTTTGACTATCTTGTGATGCAATAAAAGAGGTTGATGCATGCCTTTTGTTACCAGACTGAACGTGTGAAGTTTTGAAATGGCTGAGGGACTAGTGCTAACCCTCAGGACAGACAGTCTGGGGTCTTAGCAGAGTGCAAGCCCGACTCTCTGTGTTCTACTCAAAGATAGCTGGGCTGTCAGTAAACAAGTGTGCTTTCAGATGTGTGAAGAGATGAATCCTCTATCTGCCATAATGGTTCAGATATATTTTTTATATTTGGAGTTTTTATGAAATCAGTGCTGATCTTTGGCGTTATTCTTTAATGTCTTGTCTTGGACTTGTTGCTGTGCACTATCTTCCTGGAGTTGACAGGGGTTTCACTATATTTTGTCCTATGGAAATGTTTATGCTATTTTCAAAATGTTTTGACAGTTGAGTGTCTGCTCTTTTTTGAGGCCTTGTGTTTGAAGATTTTTCCTCAACCTTATTTTCTTGTGACTCCTGGCCAATTCAAGGCCTTTCAGGTAATTCTGGATTTTGATTGTAAGACTGCTGTTGGTCAACAGGTTGACCGAAGACTTTGATTTAAAAATACAAATGTTTGACGAGATGATATACACTTGAGAGTACTAAACATTAGAAACACCTGCCGTTTCCATGACAGACTGACCAGGTGAATCCAGGTGAAAGCTATGATCCCTAATTGATGTCACTTGTTAAATCCACTTCAATCAGTGTAGATGAAGGGGAGGAGACAGGTTAAAGAAGGATATTTAAGGCTTGAGACAAAACATGGATTATTTGTGTGCCATTCAGAAGGTGAATGGGCAAGACAAACGATTTAATGGGGCAAGCCAAAAGTGCCTTTGAACGGGGTATGGTAGTAGGTGCCAGGCGCACCGGTTTGAGTGACAAGAACTGCAACGCTGCTGGGTTTTTCACGTTCCAACAGTTTTTCCTGTGTGTGTATCAAGAATGGTCCACCACTCAAGGGACGTCCAGCCAACTTGACACAACTTTAGGAAGCATTGGCTAAGACATGGGCCAGCATCCCTGTGGAAAGCTTTCGACACCTTGTAGAGTCCACGCCCTGATGACGAATTGATGGTGTTCTGAGGGCAAAAGGGGATGCAACTCAATATTAGGCGGGTGTTCCTAATGTTTTGTACACTCGGTGTATATTTGCTCTTGTACCCTCCAGTAAGGGAATATTGAACTGTTGCGCCATTTGGTTTGCTGTATTCTACAATTGAACTGTAATGCGTACAGTACACCAGGGATGTGTACTGACTTGCCAACCGTAACATAGAACGTGTCAGTTCAAGCTTTTGTAAATGTGTTGATATTGGTTCAGACGAAATGCTGTGTCTTGTGTTGTATTTTATACAGCTAAAATCTTTTCATTTTTGTTGGTATTACTATAATAAATCTCGTTATCCATGATATGGCTCCAAGATGTCTATTTGTTTTACTCTTTTGGGATTGCATATTGAAGTTAACATGTTCTTTATGGTCTGTATCCAGTGAACAGAATAACTTAGATTCAGATAAAGGTACAGATTCAACCATCTGTTTTCTTCAGTGTATGTGAATTAGGAATCTATGGTTTTATTGTTGTGATGATGTTTTTTTGCTACTCCACCAATTCACCATAAATCAAGGCCTAGGTTCAATCAGATCAAGCGATAACTGACACCCCCGCATAGCTGATGTTGTGGCGGTGTCAAATAGGTGAGCAGCTTCTCTTGATCATTGTCACGAAGACGCACCGTCCTACTCGCCTTTAGAAGTTCAGAATGCGAAAGTGTTAGGCTACATATAAAGATGCTCAAATTTAAAATCATTAAACGAAATTATGAGGATTTCTATCATCCTAATGGAGGTGTAGATTCCATCTCACATTCCAGTGTTCCAAACTTGTAAACAAGGCTGCATCGGATTTCTCTTAATGAGAATCCGTGCAGCCAATGGCAGCGTCCACTTTAGGTATAACGCCGGGAGCCGCTTGTGGGTTTGACCGCTCTAACACAGTTCCACCTCCGTTATGCGGATCTAAGTAAATAGAGCCCCAAGTTAAAAAGTAACCATTCAAGGCAGTTTCGGTTATATAATGTTTACAGACTAAAAGTATGTGGTTTTTTAGGAGAATCATAAAATATATTTTGGACTTTGAGATTTCATAAGTGATATTGTGTAAAATTTACCTCCTGATCATGCATCAGCCCATTGTTTCATTAAACTGAAGACATTGAGGATCATGGCATGGGTGTAAGAACATTTTACACTGAGTGCTCTTTCCATGACAGACTGAATTGAGTCTGTTCCGTGGGCTAAAGGGTGTGCAACTCAATATTAAGGTTCCAAATGTTTTGTACACTCAGTGTATAAACACCATCAACTATGCAATCAACCGATCAACGTTAACGTCAGTTTGACCAGATCATGAAATCTATAAGACATTTGGTGTATAGATTCGAACATATATGTCACAGACTGCTTCCCTTTATTTAAATATTCTGCCCCACTTTATGAACTACAACTTATGAAGGCTTTTTAGGGAATTCATAAAGACTATTATTGACCTTTATTTAATCAGCGAGTCACCATTGACGAGGGAACCCTGCGTTTACAATTTCATAAAATACATAAAAAATCTAATGCAATATACATCTAATAAAATACATCACAACACATATTGAACGGACAAACATTAATATACACAAAACACAGTCAATTAAAAACAAACACATTCTTCATTATACAAATCCTCTTGTCTGCTGCCTGAACCGCCCAACGGACACTAACGCATCTATTCGAAATGTATTTTGGAGATCATTCCAAACGTGTGGAGCAAGACAACTGAAGGCTGATTTACCTAACTCTGTAGACACCAAAGGAGTCTCCAGAGTTAACCGACCCTGTGAACGGGTTTGGTAACTAGTCATTTTAAATCTTAACAGTGATGTTAGGTAAGTCAGAAGTTTGTGGAGCAGGGCTTTGTAAACAAAAAGAGTGTAAGGATGTGATCTACAGTGCCTTCAGAAGGTATTAATAATAATAATATGCCATTTAGCAGACGCTTTAATCCAAAGCAATTTACAGTCATGTGTGCATACATTTTTAGGTATGGGTGGTCCCGGGGATCGAACCCACTACCCTGGCGTTACAAGCGTCATGCTCTACCAATTGAGCTACAGAGGACCACCCCTTCAGAATGTATTCACAGAGGACCACCCCATGACTTTTTCCACATTTTGTTGTGAAACAAAGGGGGATTAAAATTGATTTAATTGTCTTTTTTTTGTGTCAACGATCTACAGAAAATTATCTGTAATGTCAAAGTGGAAGAAAAAGTATAACATTTGTTTAAAAATATGAAATAAACATTAATATATGATATATATATATATATAATATATATATATATATATATATATATATATATATATCTTGATTAGATAAGTATTCAACCCACTGAGTCAACACACGTTAGGATCATCTTTTGCAGCGATTACAGCTTTCTGGGTGAGTCTCTAAGAGCTTTCCACACCTGGATTGTGTAACATTTGCCCATTATTATTTTCTAAATTCTTCAAGCTCTGTCAGATTGGTTGTTGATCATTGCTTGACAACCATTTTCAAGTCTTGTCATAGATTTTCAAGCAGATTTAACCTCTTA